CCCGGCCTGTACCAGATGACCAACCTGTGGTGGGAGACATTCCGCCACAACGCCTGGGTGGACTCGGACGCCCTGTCTGCCGTGGTCATCTGGATAGAGGACGTGCCGCAGATCGCGATCAGGTAACACCGCAAAGGCCGGGGGTTCGAACACGCCGTGGGTCAAGTTATTTACGTCTCCACTGACACGATTTAGATCACTTGGGAGGCGGGAATCTGACCCTGCCTGTCGGGGCCAACCCATGATGAAGGGTGTGTGAGGGGGGGGGGGGATACAAAGTCCTACTACTAGCACAGGAAGATCATGATCAACATCATATCAAGTGCCAAATCTGCGACAGACACCAGCGATCATGGTTCTCCATTCATTTCTTTGCTCCAAGTGGGTTACTCTGGGCCTACCTCTGCCTCGTTTGCCTTCAATTTTGCCAGTGAGAGCTAGGTGTTCAAGACCGTTCTCTCTATTCAGGTGTCCCAAATTCTGTTTGTCTTTTCCAGATTGTTTTTATCAGTAAGCGTCCCATGTGGGCTTCTTCAAGTATTACCTCATTTGATTTTGATTTTTTTTCCTCCCAAGACATTCTCAGCAGTCTCCTAAGAAACCGCAACTCTGTGGCATCTATTTTATTTTCACTGTCTTTAGTGATTGTCCAGCATTCACAGTCATACAGAAGGGCTGACCATACATTACATTTCAGAACTTTCATTTTGGTAGTCATTGAGACGTTTTTATATTTCAGGATTGAGCTCAATTTGTTGAAACTATTCATTGCAATTCTTCCTTTTCATTTCAGTGCAACATTTGGCATCTGGTGTTATTATCATCATAATGAAAGCCTTCCACCCCTGGCAGGGTATAGGCCACATGTAAGCTCCTTTCATGTATCTCTGTCTTGGGCCATCCTTCCAAGCTCGTTCCAAGTGAGCTTCATCTCTCTCATGTCCCTTTCCACACATCTCCTCCATGTCTCCCATGGCCTGCCTCTGCCTCGTGCTCCCTGTGGGTTCCACTGCAGCTACTGTCTTGTGATGTTTCAGCTGGGCTTTCTGAGGGTTTGTTCCACATATTGCAACTTTCTTCATCTTATTTCTACTTCTATATCCTTTTGTCCTGTCCTTTTCCACGGCTTTTCATGTCTTATTCTATCCTGCCACTTAAGTCTTAGGATACTCCATGCCATTATGTATCGAAGGTATTCAAACTTGATGATTTCGTCTCCCCCTACAGTTTATACATCGCGACATGCCGCGAGGAGCCCATCAGCATCTTCCAGCTAAGTAAAGCTGCTGTCGTGCTCATCGGCATCGTTGTGCGCATCATAGTGAGCTCGGTCAAGTACTGCAACAAGAAGGCAGTCCGGTCCCACCACCACGTCAAGTACAAGGTGGTCATCATGCTGGGGATCATTCTGGAGGCCTTCTGTGCTGGGGCGATCTTCTTCCTCACACAGACAGAGAAAGGGGAGACCGGCACCGTTTCTTTTAAGGTCGGTCAGTGGGAGGGTAAAAGTTGAGATTATACAACCTATTTGTGTAGCAAATGCGTAAAATTCTTCCTAATTTTTTTTTTAACTTAGAAAACAATAGATCTCAATTTCAATTTTCTTAAAATCTTGTTTGTTTGTTTGAGTAAAGAGAAGCAAATCAACACAATAATGGTCATTTAGTTCTGGGAAAAGAAAAACAGACAGACAGAAATAACAGGGAAAGTAAAGAAGTGACACCCTCCAACCACCCCCTTAAAATCCTGATTAGAGCGAACAGGCAAGAAACGTCTTGTTGAAGATTGGTGCACAAGTACCAATCTATATTACAGGGACAGAGACCCTCCTTTTTATTTGTCTCGTCGACACATTCTGGGAGCTCTCTTTGCCATTACATTAAAAAGACAGACATCACATTGATTCTCATTATCAAAAATCGCTTACTTCTAAGGGGAAATCGTACTCCTTTCAGCCCTTTATGGAGACCCTGACAAGCAGGATTGAAGCAGCCAGCCTCAATAATGATCTAAGCTGTATTGCTGCTTGCCCAAAACATGTACAAACATTCACAAATTGGGGTCACTTATGTTGTCTGGTCTTTTATTCCACTCTTCTCACCCCCCCTCCCCTCCACCCATCCAAAAATTTATTTTTTTAAAAAAAAGGCCCATATATGCAGGTTCCAACAACCATCATTGAGGAGAAGTTCAATGACCAGCGCTATTTCGCCAACGTCAGCATATTCCTGCACCAAGCTGACCTCTTCGACGCTGGCAACCTTGACCCGGACAAAACTGACGAAATCTTCAACTGGATGCGCCTCACCTCCATCAACAAAGTCCGCCAGCCCGAAAACAACAGGTTACACCTTTGTCTGTTCTCTTTGTCTGTTGGGCTTTTGAAAAAACTTGATGAAACTGTTCAAATTTTGACACCCTTCTCCGCCCCTCCCCCCCCCCTTAAATAAAATATATTAAAATATATTAATTAATTAATTGATTAATTAATTAATTAAATTTAAAGAGGACTAAAGCTTACTTTTATCCAAAGTTTTGTAGTTTGATATGAAATACACACCTATGAACCCCACAATGGATATGAACAAGTACAGGGAAATTACAACAATGACAATAACAACGACAACAGCTACTAGGACAACGATACACAACTAACAAAAGCAAGAGACTTAATATCAACTGCAACCACAGGAGCTTTGAAAAAAAACAACCCCAAAACTTTAAAAAAATTATTATTATTATTATAGTAGAGGGTTTTACGGCGCTTGCAACTGCATAAGGTCATATGAGAGCCAAGGGGTGGATGTCAACAGAGAAGTCTTTACAGGGAATCAGACTTACTCTGCTCACCTCTCTAGCTTCAACAGCACAGAGTCTGTTCCAACTATCAAAGCACCCCGGAAATAACAGGTAACAAGAGAGTGACAAAAATACAAAAGAAGTAGAGGAAAATGACAACAGTAAGGAATAGGAAAGAAAAAGCAGCAGTTTCCTGTTGTAGATCAGGCACAGTTATGAGCGTGACATGAATCAGCCCATTTACAATTCTACTGTGCTTGAACGAGAAATGCCCCCCCCCCCCCCCCTTTGGGAACGGCCTAAAGACACTACAGTCAGTGGCACTGCCCCAGGGGGAATCCAAAACTTTAAATATTTCTGTTTATTTTATCTTTCGAAACAGGGAAGCTTTCTTCAGCTTCGACTCCGAACCTCGCTCGGCGCAAGTGACGAAATTTGCCGTCTGGGAGTGGGGGAACACGATGGGTGGACACAGTAATCAGTGGACACTCTCGGAGTGCTACGACATCGACCAACAAACGGCGGACATTACCACAGTTGCCAAGACGACTTGCGAGCAGCCGAACTACTTCATCAACCCATACAGGGTGTATGTCAAGTTCAAATACGACCCACCGGGCTCTGTCTTCAAAAAGAAAGTTTTCGGAGACATCTACTTCAATATGCGGCAGCAGACAGGGGCGAGCGGAGCCTGCGAGCAAGTGAGAGACTACACCTCGTCTATTTCAGCCAGCGTCGGCGGGAAATATCCGATCACAATGCACTACTTCCGCACCGGTGCCCTTGTCCAGGCACAGGGGACCAAGCATCTGTTGCATGGCGACGGCACGATGGCACCCAAGTTTTTCCGAAACGACGACATGGATTTAGAGGAGATTCGTTCTATATGGAGAACTGGCTGGAACAAATGCAAGAGTACCGGAAGTGTGGCGCCCAACTGGGATGAGGAACTGGAGGTGGAGTGCAACAGACCTTGAGAGAGAGAGAGAGAGAGAGAGAGAGAGAGAGAGAGAGAGAGAGAGAGAGAGAGAGAGAGAGAGAGAGAGAGAGAGAGGGGGGGGGAGGGAGGGAGGGAGGGAGGGAGGGAGGGAGGGAGGGAGAGAGAGAGAGAGAGAGAGAGAGAGAGAGAGAGTAACAGTCTGAATCTGATGCATTGTTGATGTATTTTTAATTTTGACATTTGTGTCTGTGTTTCTCGGGTTTGTTTTGAGAGGTTTTATTTCAAAAGAGAAAAAGAATAAATAGTGGGTGCATCTGAACATTTTTGACTTCCCAGCAATTCAGAGGGAGAGAGACACCCAGGAATTGTATTACGTTGAATTATATGTGATTTTACATCTTAAACCAGTAATGAGGCTGGTTGGAAAAAAAAAGAAGAGGAAAGCTAAGTATAAACTGACTGATTTACGTGTGATATAAATGTGGCACTTAAGACTTAAGCAATTAGCATAATGTTCATAACATAGCAAAAGATAAATTGGTCAGATTGCAAGATAACTGAATAATAAACATCAAAAATATTACTTATAGGTATACATGCAAGACAGAGAGATGAAAAGATGGACATAATTTTTTATATAATGGTATTGCTATCATAAACCTTGATACAGAGAACCATGCTTGATTGATGGATTTAGTAGGAACTTTTAGAAAAGGGTACATGTGCACTATTCCATCCCTGATTAAGTTAGTAAAGGTTACTTTCATTATTTCTCCTGAAACTTCCATGTCATTTTTAAAAAAATCCACTCTTGAATTGATTTGAAATGCTTTAAAAAATAACAGTGAACTGGGTATCAAAGTCAATCTGCCAAGGACTTAACTTCGTTTAAGTAACCTCAAACAAAAAAACCCACGACGCAGCGTGAATGAAATCATTTTGTTGCTTGAAGGGAGCCCTTACTCATGTCAAGACCAGTGGTAAGAGGATGTACAAACACTTTTGCCATGTCCTTGAGACATGTCTTGGAACAATCAGTCGCATTCTCCTCTCTGATACACCAGTGTACCAGACCGACTTATTTGAACGACTTATTATTAGTATTATAATTTGGAGTCTGCAATAACTGAATCAGTATTATGATTTCCCTTCTTGCATACCTGTACTTACAAGAACAATGCTTTAAACCTGTTGCTGGTATTCCATATGGGACAAACTAAAAATACATTAATATCTTCGACCCAATACTATGTTCTTGTGATTTTGTAGACATCACACTGCAGACAGATCCTTGGCCTCCCTCAAAATCAAAGATGCATGCAAAATTCTCTGTTATGTCAACAACTGATCTGTTAAAGATTTTCTTTTTAAAATGTTTTCGTTGAAATAAATGGTCATCATTCATCATTTCATTGTGAAATTTAACTGTCAAACATTCTTCAGATGTTGTAAATAGACCAATTTTTAAAAAAATTTTAGCACGATTTTTATGTCCTAAACACATACTGGCTATAGTAAGAAGGAGTCATTTCAAAGGCATAAAACAGACTGAATCATTCCCTTGATTTTATAGCATATTGTTTGTTCTGAATTCTACAAACTTTGCTAATGTTCACTTTGTCAACTTCATCGTTCATGTTTGTAATGTACCGGTACTTTACTTCCTTCCATCACCAATTTGTCAATGATTTTTTAGCACAAGTCTTCATTATTGTAATATTATTGGAGAAAATAAAATACATAATTTTTGGGAAAAATTCTGCACAAGTTTTGATGTATAAACGTATTTACTCTTTCTTAACACTAGTTTTATTAAGTTTTATATTGGATCCCAAAGTTTTAAAGGCTGAAACACTGGAAATAAAAAGAAAACCCATGTCATTGAAAGAGTACAATCCACTACAGATTGTAAGCATTAAAACAAACGCCCACCCCTATCAACACAATTTAGATAATTTGGAGGCTATCAGCTTTGACCCCATCTGTCACGGCCAATCCAAGCTGAGTCCCAATATAAGAACAGAGTCAGTAAAAGTTACGACAATCCTTTCTCACCCAAACAGGGAGCTGGAGATCTCACTTTTGGACAATACTGAAAAAAAAGTCTTTTTTTATGTGCTGTTTTTACACCCTATCAACATAATTTAGATTATTTAGGAGGTGGGCTTCCAACCCTACCTGTCAAGGCCAACCTGTGCTGAGAAGGTTTCAACATCCCAGCAAATAGAAGAACTCCATAAAAAATGTTTTTCCAAATCAGGAATCGAACACGGGTCTCCTGTAAGCTTAACGAAGTGCCTAACCTCTACACCACAGACGCCGCTGACAATACCGAACCAACAAACAAATCTGTTCCATCAGTGAAGGGTCAAAGATGTCAATACAAATGAAGAGATTTAAAAAACACTTGGAAATACAGTGGAGTCCACATAAATCGACACAATTAATCCAAAAGCAGCAGTAAACTGAAGGAGAATAAAATCCCTGATTTTTCTTCTGTTTGAGCAACCTCTCTAAACGAAAACCCGGCAAACCAAAGAAAATGTGGTGGTACCGCAGATTTAATTTTAAGCAGACTCCACTGAAAGAACGATTTAATTCACAGAAATAAAGATGGGTCGCAAATTCTAAGACAGAGAAGCATATCTAAAAAACTTACAAAGCGTAACTTTCAACATACCCTATTCATTGTCTTGCAAACGATTTCCTTCAAATAGCAGGTTGACAAAAGAATAACAATAACCAAAAGACAAATACAATTCCTGAATCACTTGAATCGATTATAAGGTCTTAAATATCTGCCCTCACTGGAAAAATAGATAGCAGAGGAGGCAGAGGTAGACCAAGAATCACTTTTCTTAGAGAACTTGAACAAATGATTGATGGGACAAAACCAGACTGAGAAAATCAGAGTAGGGAAATAAATGGCAAAGCAATATAACCGACGTCTAATTTCAAATCTGGCACTAGGAAGAAAAAGAATAGAAGGGGACAGGTGGAAGAGATTTAACTCTTTACTGATGACCAGATGGGCTACCTCTTTATGCTCAAATTAAAAGAAACAAAAAACAAGACAGGCTACTCTACAGACATAACATGAAATGCCACTCAAAAACCGCTAACAACTCTCCGTGTAGAGTAAATAGTAAATATAACAATGCTCGACTTCACATGTTGACTTTCCAATTTGGTCCATCTAAATAAGTTCAAATGCAAAAGTTGTAGCTGGATTTGTTGTAACGCAACTGAAAATTTCTCTTGTCTATGGTTGCAAACCCCCCTCCCGAAGCACCACACTGTGTAAAAACAAGCAGAATGCAAACATAGCCAAAGCTAACCCATCAAGAGTGGAACGTATACACACTCCAACAGACATGCTTGTTTGAGAAAAGAGAAACACATCAACAAAATAATTATCATTTAGTACAGGGAAAAGTAGAATGTCCAGACAGACAGAAGCAACAAAGTAAAAAAGAACCCATGCACTAGCAATCAGACCTATAGCACAGAGAGAATGCTGTCAAGTTTGAAGTGTGGATATGCGCTATATAAATGTGATTATTATCATCATCATTATTATTGTTATCATTTATATTATTATTCTATCATCCCCTGGATCACATACTATCGTAACCGCCACATCACCTGAAATCGGGTCTAAAATACAACCCGATTACAAATTTTACTTTCTAAACTCTGTCAAAATCAGGATTCCATAAAGTAAACTTGGCAGTCACCTTGGTGACTTGTCATTGATCCTGATTTTTTTCACCAAATCCCGATCCCCCTCCGAGACCCTGATTTCTGGTTTTCATACAGTGGCAGGTCTGCTTATTCATCCATTTGTTAATCTCAAGTACCACTAACCAGTTAATACTGGTAAAATGCCTCACAACGCTTTTTTCTTTCAAAATAAGATGGTCATTTTTCATTAAATAAATCGATTTTCTGAAGCAGTGACAGAAAATATGGCACAAAGTCTGTATACAAACCAAAAATCAATAAGATATTATGTTCCTTTCATTCACAACAGGATTTGAAAAATTGCGCTAAACTTTAAACCACCGTAGCTCCAAACCCCATTTTTGTTGGTTACAATAGTACATGATTCGGGGGGCGCTAGGTGGTAACTGTTGTTACAAATGAGTTAAGGATTAACGTGTTATGTCCAAATAACTGTAATTTCAACATATGAAAAGATGATATGAGAAACTTAGACTGTACACATACTCAGGCAACAGTGGAAGAAACCACAATGAAGGAGCCTACCTGAGTCTGTGACTTCCTCATGGACAATTTTGGCGTCCGCAGGATCGAAGGCGCCGGTCCTCATGACATAGTCCGTGCTCAGAGCCAGCGTGTTCACCCAGTGTCCGTGGCCGTCCAGATTGCGACAAAACACGCCCTGTGGGGAGAGACGAAAGAGATCTGTGTATCATGGAAATACAACATGGAGTTTAACTTAGTTTAAGTAATAGTTCAACCCCATGAACCCAAGTGGAACTGAGCGTGGCTACCTTTACCTCTCTGCACACATTCCACATACACCTGAGCGTGGCTACATTCACCTTTCTGAGCATACAACACACACCCGAGCATGGCTACCTTTACCTTTCTGTAGGCTAACACAGAACACACACCTGAGTAGGGCTACCTTTACCTTTCTGTAGGCTAACACAGAACACACACCTGAGCAGGGCTATTTTTACCTTTTTGCGTACAGAACACTCACCTAAGCAAGGCTACCTTTACCTTTCGTTACACAAAAGACACACCTGAGTGTGGCTACTTTTACCTTCACGTACACAACACACACCTGAGTGTGGCTACCTTTATGCCTTTTGTGCATTAAAAAAACAACACACACCTCTGTGTGACTTCCTTTACCTTTTCATGCACAGAACACACACCTGAACAAGCAGCGGTGTGTATACAGGGATGTAAACAGGCTTTGAAAAAAAAGCGCCGGAAAATATACGGAGCGCATGCGCTTACTGAAATAAGAATACAGTTGGACTAAATCATAATTGTTTCTTTCCCTCTGTTACAACAAATAATCTCTGTGTAGTATATATAATATAATATGTATTGTTTATAGTAGACTTCTGTTTAAAGCTGGGGCCCAAATGGCAAGTCGGCCGGAAAAAACGGAAAAAGCCGGAAGATTTACATCCCTGTGTGTATATATA